GCCAACAAGGTAGCCACAAAGGCTCATACGAACAACATAAACTTCATTTGAATCCAACGAATCACAATATTGGATTACAACCACGATTCAAGACTCCAAATCCTACCAATTGATACTTAATACATAGCTCTAGACTTACGAGACATCAATATAGACACACAAGTACACCATGGAACAACAAAACGGAAGCCAAGAACCAACGTACCAGTAGGTGGTTTTGACGGGTGGCAAAGTACCCTCCAAAAACCCCACATGTACTAGCGGGTGGTTCCGGCGGGTACTGAACCACCCACTGAACCCCTGCTGCTCCCCCTTGTACTCGCGGGTGGTACTGGTGAGTAGTGAAGTGGCCGCCATGTGCTCGCTGGTACCGAACTGAAGAAGAAATTCCCACTTCGGGAAAAATTTCAGAATGCACAAATCCAAATACCTCAATACTCACATCAACAACAAAAGAGACTTTAATACAAGGAATAGCTCAACAAATAGATCAAACAATCCTAGATACAAGCTCTACAAAAGCATAAACACAAGAATATTTATTTCACCACTCAAGAACATCAAGAAATCATATTAGCAAGGAGAAATAGGTTTTGTAGGACACGGGTTACCTTTTTAGCTTATCCAACCTCTTCCAACTCCCTAGCCTACTCTTGCAAGTTCTCCTCCAAGTGATCTTCATCCAAAGAACCCAAAAACCCAACAAACAAAGGAAAGACTTAGATAATAAAGAGACAACACTATGAAATAAGACTATATAATTGTTGGAGGATGAAACGTGCAAGAAGAAGGAGGAAGGAGGAGGGCAGTAGTAAAGTAAATACTCAAACCAAAAGTCTGTTGTAACCGCCTAGATATTTTCATATTTTCATTTCCCGCTTTGTATATAAGCTATTCATCTTCTCTGTAATCTAATACGTTGAATATCAAAAACACTTCATTCTATCTCCTCCATTTTTCTCCCACATGTGAGCTCCTCTAACATGCTATCAGAGCGGCGAGGCAGCCACGCCGCTGCTGCTATCGATGCCGGAGAACCGGATCAAAGAGAGGTTCATCCGAAGACCGTAGTTCGCGCATCGCCGATCAATCCGCAGAGGATTCCGAGTTCGGAGTAGCCGGCGTCCGTAGTCGATGCACAGCTAAAGGCGATCCAAGGATGTCTGTCAATTCCGATCGCTCGATCTCCAGTCCGTCAGCATCGGCAAGGATTTTGCAGAGGAATCTGAATTCGGAGCAACAGATTTCCGTAGCCGATCCGCAGAGGAAGGCGATCCAAGGAGTCTGTCCATCGCTACCGATCATTCAATCTCCAGTTCAGGTGATCTCCACAGTCGTTCCGCAGCGAAAGGAAGGAGCTCGTCCGTGGATTAGTCGATCTCCAATTCTGGTGACATCCATAGTCGTTCCGCAGTGGAACTTATTCACGAAGAGGAACTATAATCCAGCCACAGCGGTTGTGTCTCTCGTTGTCATAGGAGGTGATGAGATTTTCCATTTCCAGTTGAATTCCCATGGGGATTATCTGAGCCCCTTGTTTTTCTCTGCTTCGTCGTTGAAAAGTCTTCCGGCCAAGGCCGAAAATAGAAATCCGCTCGTGGTTTGTGCTTCCAAGGGCTCGAACAACAAGCCGTTGACCGGCGTTATTTTTGAGCCGTTTGAGGAAGTGAAGAAGGAGCTCAGTATGGTGCCGAGTGGCCCTCAGATTTCTCTTTGCCGCAAAAAGTTCGTCGACGACTGTGAAGCTGCCATCAACGAACAGATCAATGTTGAGTACAAGGTTTTGTATGTTTACCATGCGATGTATGCTTATTTTGATAGGTACAACATTGCTCTAAAGGGTCTTGTCAAGTTTTTCAAGGAATCTAGCGAAAAGGAAAGAGACCATGCTAAGAAACTGATGGAATATCAGAATAAACGAGATGGAAAAGTTAAGCTGCAGTGTATTGTGATGTCTCTCTCTGAGTTTGATGATGCTGAGAAGGGAAATGTATTGTATGCCTTGGAGTTTGCACTTTCCTTGGAAAAGTTGACTAACGAGAAGATTGCTCATGAATGTTTTGGACTACTATTCTTTGAGAAACATTTTCTCATCAAAGGGAATATCCTTATTTTCATTGTGAACAGGCTTTCTTCTGGTCCAAAGGTTCAAAAGGGCATTAAGAATATTGGAAGGAATTTGGACTTCTCTGTTTTGTTTGGGTTTCAATGTTTCATTTCATGCTCTGCAGATCATCAAGAATTAGTATTGAATTTAAGATGGTCATGACTAAGGCCTTTACCAAAGAATTCCCCCATGTGGAGAGATATTTCTGGACTATGGTGAAACAGCCAAATCTCAGCAAGATATTGGGCGAGATTAAACAAGTAGAATGACTTTGGATTATGGAGTTCTTTTGTATCTAAGCTGGGCATGTAGGATTTACACGCTCCAGCTTACGGGGGGTTTTGGAGGATGAAACGTGCAAGAAGAAGGAGGAAGAAGGAGGGCAGTAGTAAAGTAAATACTCAAACCAAAAGTCTATTGTAACTGCCTAGATATTTTCATATTTTCATTTCCCGCTTTGTATATAAGCTCTTCATCTTCTCTGTAATCTAATACGTTGAATATCATAAACACTTCATTCTATCTCCTCCATTGTTCTCCCACATGTGAGCTCCTCTAACAATAATCCTAATACATACCCTTTCTAAGCTTGATGATGGTGAAATGTAGAGTCTTGCTTGGCTTTCTTGGTTGAGGAGGTGAAGCGCTCTCTTGGGTAGAATGGGAGAGTTAGGGTGGCTTGAAGAACAAGCTAAAATGTTGAGAGAGTTTTGGCCAAGTATAGGAATGCTAGGGTGAGTGTCTCTAGACAGTGGCTTGAGTTCCAAGTTAGAAATTGTGAAATGACCATGAAGGGCCTCTTCTTTCCACATAAAGGCTACAAGGGTTTCTTTTAAGTAAAAGCTAGAGTACAAAGGTTATAGCATAAGGTCCAATCCATTGACCATATTAAAAAGGCTAAGGGATTTGGGTCAAACTAAATCCCCTAACTAAACTCAAGGCTAAAATATAAGAGGAATTGTAAGGGTAATTAGGAAATAATTAAGTAATTAATTTTGGTTTAAGGGATTAATTTCCGGGGGTGTCACAGAGGTCCCGTGCAGCTAGGCAGAGTTCGGACAGAGTAGAGGTCGGGGAGGATGCCGGTCAGGAAATAAAGATGATGCTCGGACCGTTCGACATCGCACGGGATGAAGCGAGAACAGGTCAGTGATCAAAGTCCGACCGAGTATATAACCTATTAATTATTATTATTATTATTATTATTATTATTATTATTATTATTATTATATTTACATAAGGTATTCAGTATTCCTATTACTCTGAGATTAATTTAAATTAAATTTGTAATATACTTATAAAAATTCTTAATAAGATTAAAACTTGATTTTAAATTGTTTAACATGATGCATTAATTATCATAGTCAACTATTTTAATTTTTTTTTAGTACTACTAACTCTGTCACAATGTAATAAATTTATAATTATTCACTAAAATATAAATTTATAATTTCCATATGAAAGAATCTCTTCATGTCACTAAAATATAAGTCATTGACATCAACTATCTTACCTAAATAGTGTGATTATTTTAAATATCGCTTTCTCTCACAAGTCACAATTCAATATCCCTAGTCCCTAGATGACGTTCCAATATCTCAAAATGTGAATGCTCTAAAGCGTTACCGCGCGACTAAGCATTGTTCCACGTCCGCCCACCAACACTTTTTAACATAGCAAGTGCCGTCAGTGTCGGAACACACGACATTCATGTTCCTGATTTGGGATTAAGTGGGGACCACAGACCACTCCAATCCAAGGTTTCAGTCGAGCCTCTTCCCCTCCCTTTTGCATGCTCGCCACGTGCCGCATTGTCACCCGGTTTGGACCGAACGGCGTGCTTTTTGACGGCGATGCGTCATCACTGACATTTATGTTTTCTTTTGGATTAAAAGAAAGCGTCGAACAGTGCGAGGTATCACTCGAAAGATGAAAGATGAAAGATAACGCGCTTTGAGGCGTAACTGATGACGGCTTCTCCCGTGAGGACACGTGTGCGCTTACGTGGCAATACGATCGCCGGAAAACGGCATGCACTTGGACTAGTACGTGCTGGATGACGCATTTTAAGTGTGTTTAGCACCATACCAGGTAAGGAGAGTCCCATCTTATTACTTTATGTGGGTGAGTCTATTTGAAAAGTAACGTATAGAACACTTTCAAATAGTGATTATGAGTTCTCTTATTATAAAAAAAAAAATTGTATTGAATAAAATTTTAATAATTAAAATTTAAAGATTAATTTTATTTTAGAAATTAAAATATGAGCTTAGTTATTGATGCGGTATATACTGTTAAGTATATAAATATGAGTGGAGATTATAATGCAGTAGTACGGGTAGTTAAAACTGGGGGTCTCAAACTTCTAAGTGTTCTAAAGAGTAAATGCTCTCAATCAATACCACCCCCCTCCCCTCTCCCGACAATAAATGCTCTATTTATAGGGAACAAAGGGGAACAAATGACGGGCATCTAACGTGCCCGCCACGTTTTCTACATGCACGGGTACGGTCGACAGCCTTATAAATTAACATACGTGAATTTCGATACTTAATATGCCTATCTTCTAAAATAGGAAGTGTTCCTGTTTGGAATGCCCAGACCGAGCTGACATTCAATGGTGAGTGGGAACTGTTCCGGCCGTGCGCCCCTAGGAGTATGTACTAAGCACATACTTGACAGATTATTTAGAGTATATTTAAATTCTCAAACTTAAATTTAACTTGATAATAGTTGAATTACACATCTATTAAATTCTATACCTAAATCTTCTATATGAGGGAGTCACTTCGTATCAATAGACCACAACATCATTGTCACAACTCACAATCGTCAAATTAATTTTGAGTAATTTATACTCTGTAGTTGTTTGATTCACTTACACCCTTTGGTGGAATGTGAGAGGTGAAATGGGTCGTAATCAAATTGGCCCGGTCAAGCTCCACTATTTCGATTTCCAAGGTCAAACCCTAGGGAGCAGTCAACACTCAACATCAGCCAACCCCGAGTTGACAGTTTCTCCGGGAGCCACTCTCCGTCACGGCCACCATTGTTATCAATCTAGCTTGTAAAAATGCAGAGGTGCTTGGGCCTATCTTTGCTCGCAAAACGAGGGTTTGGCACGTCTTCGAGCCGCGACAAAATCGTGGCGTCTGTCCTCTTTGAGCGACTCCCAGTCGTCGTTCCAAAGATCGATCCCGTCGTCTATGCCTTTCAAGAATTCTCGTTCCGGTGGCGGCAACAATACAGGCGGGAGTACCCAGACAATTTCCTGAAGAAGGCAGATTCCAGGGGTAAAGGCGAATACCAGATTGACTACACGCCTGCTCCTCGGATCACCGAGGCTGACAAAACCGGTGACCGGAAATCCCGGAAGTCGTTACAGAGAGCGCTCGACAGAAAGCTCTATCTTCTCATCTATGGCACCACAGTTTCTGGCGGGAACCCTGTCTGGCATTTCCCGGAAAAAGCATATGAATCGGAAGAGACTCTGCGGAGGTGTGCGGAGTCTGCTTTAGAATCTGTGATCGGAGATCTCTCCCACACTTACTTTGTGGGGAATGCTCCGATGGGTCATATGGTTACACAGCCCGGGGAGAATAACAAGGAAGTTTCATCTTTAAAGCGCTTCTTCTTTAAATCCCAGGTGATTGCAGCAAACAAGTTTGATGTTAGTAAGTGTTTGGATTTTGTTTGGGTGACAAAGGATGAGCTGTTGGAGTATTTTCCCCAGCAAGCTGAGTTCCTGAACAAGATGATCACAAATTAAACTGATGGTGATTCATTTCCTTGTCAATTTGTGAAGCAGAATAACATTATGAAATTCGAAGTCTTGGATTATATATTTATTTGTTCTTATGTTAGGCACCAGATTTTTTGAATATTCAGTAGTATCATGAATTCTGCAGAGTTGTGGAGGAGAACAGTTGTGATTGCATTCATAGTTTTTTTTTATCAAAGTCATGGGTTTTATCATTTTTTTTTCCCATTTAGGCTGTTGTTTAGATGCTGCAACTAGATAAGTTAATGGCCTTTTGTTTGAGCCAAAAAATTTGTAGCCACTATAATTTTGTGATCCTAGTTGGTAAATGATCACAGGGAAGGGAGATTGTCCATAGCCGACTACTCAAACCAAGAAGGTTCCTGCCCAGAGTTGAACTTATAACTTTATGATTACCAAGTTAACTGGCTGAGGAACCATGAAGGCCAATAGGCCACACCCGTGAAAGTAAAACTTGTAACATGCCAATTGACAACTACCGTAGGATTTGAACTTGTAGCCTTATGATTACCAAGTCAATCGTATGAGGAACCAAGAAGGACAATAGACCACTCTCGTTGGAAATATAGAATTTGTAATCTTGTAGTTAACAAATTAATAGGTCACTATCTAAGTTTGAGAGCGTGCACTGAGTAAAATTAGTCTTGTGATCCTAACCGGTAAAGGATCACAATGAAGGGAGGTTGCCCACAGTTGACTACTCAAACCAAGAAGGTTCCTGCTCAAAGTTGAACTTGTAACCTTATGATTACCAAATCAACTAACTGAGGAACGATGAAGGCAAATAGGTTACTCCCATCGAGAGTATAACTTGTAATAGGCCAGAACTTGTAACCTTATGATTACCAAATCAACTAACTGAGGAACGATGAAGGCAAATAGGTTACTCCCATCGAGAGTATAACTTGTAATAGGCCAATAGACTGCTCCAGTAGGAGTTGAACTTGTAACTCTATGATTACTAAGTCAATTGTCTAAGGAACCAAGAAGGACAATAGGCTACTCTCGTTGGAAATATAAGATTTGTAACTTTGTAGTTACCAAGTTAATAGTTTGACGAGTTTGGTTTTTTATAAACATCAATTGAACTTACCATGTGCTTTTGATATAATTTTTTTTATGATTTACAGTACACATTTACTTAAAATAAACAGATAGTAATGCTATAAAGAATACAGGAGCTATGAACAGGGTTTTAAGGTAGACAGTGCAAGATAGATATGCACTGTCTTGACCCTTGTTCTATCAAAAAATACATACAACCAGGACAACAACTCAACAAGGAAACAGGTAACAGGGCCCTAATGCAGGGAAAGACAACAAGAAGTATATGTTAAGTGGAAAAGTTTTTACTTTTTTTAATGGAACTGTTGGATTGGTTTTCTTACTGTTTGCTAATTGATGTTACCAACAGATTGGAAGATCTGGTGGAGGCTCCTCTAATGCTTCCAATTCTGTTATCCCATTCTCCACTATGAAAACCATGGCCAAACCCCAGGTAATGTGAACGTCCAAATGGCAATGCATTATCCACACTCCTGCATAACAAAATTATGTTTTGAAGTTTTGAATGATGATCTGAATGTGTGAAAGAACTAAGGAAAGAATTGTTGGAATGTGATAGAAATCTCACCTGGATTATCAGCAACAAATCGTATGACTGACCATCCATTGACTGGTACACTCGCTGTATTTCTCATAGGTGGATCAATGAGGTTAAATTTTGCTGTATCTCTTTGTGGATTGAAGTTTCCAAAGCCCTCGGCAATGATGTAAAAATCATATCCGTGAAGATGGATTGGGTGGTTCTCAGCTGTGAAGATACTTGTTCCCTGCAGCACAACCTGCACTCTTGCTCCGTAGTTTAACTTGTACACCTTTGTTCCGGATGCAGGTTGCCAAAGTGATCTGGCCACATTACCAGTATAATCAAACTGTACTGGTGGGGTTGCTGGAAAGTCTGTTGTGAAGACTCCGGGTATACCTTGGTGGTGTGCCTGCAGCAGGGAAAAGTTGGCTGGGAACACGAAAGACACATTGTTCATGCTGGCAGTGAAGCGGGTGCCATTTGGTCCCTGGCAGTTCTGGGGACTTGCACCAGCAGGGCAGTTATTGAGTCCTAGACCAACAGTGATGAACAGATTTTCGTCGATTTGAGTAGGCACCTCCACGTGTCTTGGACTTCTGAGGCTATTAGAGAAGGCAGTGGCAGTGGCTGTGTCATTATATGCTGGTAGAAGTGGGAAAGGTGGACTGATCTTGATCCCCTTGGCTGGGCAGGGCGCTGTGCTATACTCGAGGATGGCTGTTGTTGTAGTGTTATCGAAAGGTGCTCCTTGAGCACTGGCGTATGCTCTTGCAGCCATGTAGTAACGGGCAGGCAGCTGATTACCCGTAATTAGGACATCAGTAGTCTGTCCTGGCCCCAACATGATGACTGAAGTGGTGAATGGCTTTAAATAAGAGGCATCCGCTCCAACCACTGTGAGATGGTGGTTGGCTACCGAGAAAAAGAGCTGCTGGTTAAGTGCAGCGTTAATAACCCGAAGGAGGTGGGTCTGGCCAGCATTCACATGGACAATAGTGGTGTCTGCATCAAATTGTAACCGAGGGATATGATCATCAATCAAGCTCGTGAAGATAGTGAATCGTGTGTGATTTTGAACTCCCGTGTTAATTTCATGTTATATTGCTTTGTGCAGGAGCAGCTGCAGAGTTAAGGCTCCGAAAGTTCTTACCTTGACTCGAGCATCTGTACAGATCACCAGGCTGACCGTTGATGGTGAATGCATCTGAAACATTTGGAGCTGCTCCAGTTATCGTTGCCTGCCTTATAACATCAATGGGGTTTGCATCCCACCACTCGCCTGTTCATCGCAGTTATCAAATTTAATCGAGTGTTTCAAAGAAAGGTAAATAACAGTAGTAGTTTCACACACAGACACAGACACATATACTTTGGTTAAGAAGGAAAATTAGTAAATTACCTAGTACTATGGGTGTTTCTCTTGCAGGCTTAGGAAATGGATAGGGTTCTCCTTTTCTTGGGTGGATGATGAGCGCTCCATAGACCGTGGCCCTCAGCCATGAGCTGTGGGCGTGCCACCAAAGTGTGCCTTCCTGTCCCTCAATTGTAAATCGGTATGTATAGCTCCCTCCCGGCTTAATTGGGCACTGAGTAATGAACTCTGGCCCGTCTGCCCATGCTGTTCTTAGTTGCCGAACACCATGCCTTTTGAAAGATTGCAGAAAGAAAAAAGAAACCAGTTGAATTGGTTTTCGAAATAAATGGCACATTTTGCATATATGCATGCATGCTTACATGAACATCAAACACTTACCAGTGAATGGTGAGGTTGTATTGAGCTCTGTTCACAACTTTCACCATTAGCGTATCGCCATTATTCACTTCCAATGTCGGTCCAGGGAGCTGTCCATTCACCGTTATTGTGCTGTGGGTTTTGCACAGCCTCTTCACTGGTGTTTCTTGAACCTGTTTTACAACCAAACAGACAACAGTCATTAGAATCCCCCGGTTCCCAACAGGCGATCCCAAGGAGAAAGAAACGAAGACAGTACGTACAACAAATTCATGGCGGTGAACTTCTGCATTCGCCAAAGAAGACCCGGTTGCAAGGAGAAGCAGAAGGCCAAAGAAGAAAAACGAGCAGGCTGGTTTCGCGATGCTGCTGCCAAATGCCTCCATTGTTTTGCTTTGGATCTTTTTGGTTTTTTTATTCTATTTTGTCGTACAAGGTTAGATGTGACAGTGTTGTTTTGCTTGTGGAGAGAATGAGAGTTGAGGATTTTGTTATATAGGAGAAGAAGAGGAGAGAGAGGGTTGTTTGAAGTTGGCGAATTAGGTTCTTGTTTAGCATTAAGGTCAGCCATGTCGGAGGAGTTGTTGCACCCACTAGATCATAATTCATAAGCCTCTATACATTGTATTTCTATGCAGCATCCTCCATCTCCAAGGTTTTGCTTCACATTTTCAATACTAATAAGTTTAATGCCTTTCCCTTTTTCAATTCCTTGGAAATGCATGTAGATTTCTTGTGTTTGCATAATGATGCCGTGTTTCGTGTTAATTCATACATACAATAGTATAACCTGGAGTGTGGTTGAGTGGAAGTGACTCATTTATCTTTAATCAAATGTCAAAAGTTCGATTATTGACTTTGGGTATGGACCAGCTTTAAATTTCTAACTCAGTTGTCTCATCTAAAAGTGGTGCTTACAATCCATCGAGGAGATTAATCATTGTGTCCAATAGTGGAAATCCTGGGTATACCCAAAAAAATACATACAATAGTAGCACAAGCTGTTGTTCTCTTATTGATTGCTAAAAATTGTCCCGGAACATAGCTCAACTAGTTGATTAACTAAAAGAAGATTAATAGTACATTTTGCTTCGATGGCAACCATACTTTAAGAATCTGACTTTGGCTAATAATCCGGATTTAATGTCGTACAATTACATTAGTGATCCGAATTTGATATTATACAGTTACATTAATAGTTTAAATTTGATGCCTTACAGTTATATTAGCAGTTCGCTTACCATTTGTTTCTAGCCTGCTGAGTTACATTATAGTTTAGTTTGGAGAATTACATGCGCTAATGTGAATACTAATTGGAGTTGAGGAGGGATTGACTAAACAACCCTAAGTTTTGAATGAGTATGGGGATTAATTAAGTGAAATCACTTAATTTGACTCTGCTAATCAAGAAATGCCTAATTTGTTTTTCCCTTTGTTGGTGGTCTACTCACCAAATCCGAGTTGGAAACGAAGTGCATACAAGAAAACGTAGAAAATGAGCATTATGGTTACGAAGTTTGAATGAACTAGCTTAGTACTTTAAACACAATATAGTATTGCCTATGACGTGAAAAAATCCGCAATTACTATCAACCCATTAATAAAAAGTTACAAAAAGATAAATTAACTTAGATCGTTTATAGTAGATCAACTAAAACTGATAAAGAGTATAAGCACCTCCCAAGTTACTCATAGTACATTGGGTAAAATCAATAAAGCCAATAGACACATCTTACAGTGAGCCAAACTTAGAACCTTATAGCTACTAAATCAACTCGATTGGGGTTGTCCCTAACTAATCATATGATAAGCTAAGCTATGTGCCAGATTATTATTATTATTATTATTATTATTATATATTAGTGTTAAAAAATGCAACAACAAAAAAAAGAGAGATTTATTTGCATGTATCATGGTTTCAAGCTAAGTTTAATTTGTTGGTTTCCACAGATTAGTTACGAGTGGTTATGATTTTTGGCATCAAATTGAGGTTATGAATTGTATAATCACGTAATATTCAAAACCTTTAATTTTGTACTTAAGTTATTAAACAATTTCACAAAAAAGAAAAAAAAGGTGGTTTACTTGTATGTTTTGCTCAATGCAAAGGTAAAAACAATCCACAATAGTTATACCGTGGACCCGAGTCTACCTTGTAATGTCGACTCATCACAATTTACATATTGAATGTTTACAATTCAAATTCTGAACATACAATATGTAATTTGTGTATTTTGCACTCGGATCCACATTGCAAGATGGACTCGAGTCCACAGAATAATTTGTCATAAATTATAAATTAAAAGTTATTGTCAAAAAATAAATTAAATTTTAAAAGAACATCATGAGCTCAAGTTAAATTAAATCGGATATTATAGTTGAATTATTTACCACCCCAACATATGCAAATAAATAGGAAAGACTGAAAGAGCCAGCCTAGTTTATCTTCGGCAAAGAGCCCCGAAGACTGGTTTATTTCCATTTTCTAGTTTTTATTTGTTTATTGCGGGGTGTTTGGTAAATAGTTGTTAGTTGATTGTGTTAGTGGGTTGACTAGTTGTTAGCATTAGTTGATTGCAGAAAAATGTTTGTTAAATTAGTTATTTGTTGATAGTTGATTTTGATCAAACACTCATATTGATTTTGATTGCTTAACCAAATCAAACAGTTAACATTAATCAAATAAATCAAAATTAAATGATAAACTAATTATGTTACCAAACATGACCTCTTTTTAAATTCAAACAATAAATAAGTAAAAGTAGATATATTTCTATCCTTTTTTTATTAGTAAATATACAATAATTTTGGGTTGATGGGTCATCTAGCCGTGTCAATCCGTGGGTCAGTACATTGAAGATTTTTAAAGATTTGGATGTGTTTGGGTCCTTTGGGACCACATCTTGGGCCAAGGTATGCCTTAAAGAGTACGATATATCTTTTCGTGTTTTATTACACAGGTTTTTATATTATTATTATTATTATTATTATTATTATTATTATTATTATTATTATTATTATTATTATTATTATTATTATTTTGCTTTGACAATTATTAATAAGTGATTTTTATTAAGTGGGTAAAAAAAAAAAAAAACATTCCGTAGTTCACATAAAAAGTTTGGATGGGATTATGGGAAGTAAACTTTGATAGTCTTTGGAGTATTTTCCTATCGAATAATGTCACATACTATTTCTATTTTTTTCTTTTTAATCTTTTTTCTCTTGGTGTGTTATTATCTAATTAGTAATTAAAATTTTTTTAATTAGTGGTCTACTCAATTCTCATTTCTCAGGAACAAGAATTGACCGACCACTCTCAAGCCGATCAACTAAACCTTAGTATCCATCCATCAAATACAATAATTAAAGAGTTACTATCGAAAATGGTCCTCGATTATAGTAGTTTTTCTTAATTTTGTCCTAAACAACTTTGATAACTTAATATAGTCCCAAAGTTTTGTGTTTTTTACTCAATTTAGTCCCAGACTTTGTGTTTTTGCTCAATTTAGTCCATCATTTGTTATTCCGTTCATTTGTTGTTAAATAAATAGACAATTCAGTAATTTTAATATTGTCATCTCTTTACTCATAGACATGTGAAGTTCGAAATCCTTTTTTCGTTTTACGAATTACTCCAGAATCACTCCTAAACCTGCGAATATAAAATTTGATTCGTAGGTTTGAGAGTAATTCTGGGTGTAATTCGTACCAGATAGAGGGATTTCTCACTTCGCAGGTTGAAAATAAAGAAATGTCAATATTGATATTATTGAATTGTCTATTTATTTAACACCAATTTGACGGAATAACAAACAGAGGACTAAATTGAGCGAAACACAAAAGTCTGGGACTATATTAGGTCACTAAAGTCATTAAGGACGAAATTGAAAAAAACCACTATAGTCGAAGACCATTTTGGGTATTAACTCAATAATTAAATTATGAATATGTTGATTCACCCTCACTAATTGAATTATACAAATAAAATGGAAAGAAGACAAATATCAACGGCGAAATAAAAAGAGACAAAGTATTATTTAAAAAAAAAAAAAAAAAAAAAAAAAAGAGAAAGAGAGACAAAGTACTTCAATGTGTTTTTAATTAGGAATTACCACGTTTTTGTCATTCTGTACCATCTTAGACAATGACATCTATCTCGTGTAAGTAGAATTGAAATTGGGAACAATTCAGTCAAATTGGTTGGACGATTAGTTTGGTATCACAAGGTTACAAATTTGATTCTCAAGAATAACGATCTATTGATCTTCTTGATTTGAAACAGTTAGTTATGAATAACTTATGTTAGTAGACTTTATCGTGGTCATTTGTTGATAAGATCACAATGCAGGGTTCATTCAATGCATACCCAATTGAAAGGGTGTTGACAAATATTAAACTCGTAATTTTCTGCTATAAAGTTCATATTTTATTCACTCATTCACCTCTTTCGTAGATAATATATGTTTTTTGACAAATTATTTAGACATTACGTTTATTATTTATCATATTTTTTTATAGAACACGTTTATTATTAATAATAAAAACTTGTCACATTAATTAATACTCTCACATCTTGATCTGACAATTATTTATTAATTGTTACAAATTGTTCTTTTCAAGTTATAAGAAACACGTAACAAAAATATATGTTTTTTTGACAATTGTTTGGACATTCTTTTTATTACTCCGTATTTTATTTTAAAGAGAAATAGGTCAAATTGATTAATACTCCATTCTCTTTTTATTTGAATAATGATAAATTATATTATTAACCTAATAACATTGTGGTCTGGTTATAAGAAGTGACTTTTTCAAATAAAATATGTCCTTTATACTTAGATAGATAATGAATTTTCTATATTATTTTACATTCATATATATTTGTAAAATAAATTTTTAAGAAAAACTGATCCAAAATTGTATACTTAACCACGTATATTGTTTGACACGTGTTATTCACGTGTTTTCGTACCCCCGTTGGAGTCCTCGAATTATCGTCTCCATCTGGACTCAAACACCAGAGTTTCTCATCCTCTTCCGTTCCCCGCCGGCGATCTTTCCTCGCCTACTAGATTTCGGTTCTTCTGAATCCGCTTCTTATCTTTTACTGATTTTCCGGTGGATTGCCTTAGCGTAATCAGTTTAATTTTATTTACATTTTCACACTTGAGCTGAATCTGATTTGCTCACTTATCTGTAGATGCAGATGTCGATTTCAGTGTCCGAATTTTGTTGATATATTGTGAATCCGTGAATAGATTTGAGTGAATATGATGGGGTATGAGAATCAGGGCTTCGAGGAGGCCCATCTATATGCATCGAAGGAAGAGATGGAGTCTCTCGTCCTCGACGACGATCCGGACGGCTCCTCCAACGGCCGGAAGCCGTTCTCCGACCCGTTATCAGCTT